TTTATAAACTCTATAAAATTTAGTTATTGGTAAAAAAAATTGATAAAATTGTGTTTTAATTATTTCTTTATGAATTCTATGCTCTTTTCCCCAGAACTGAAACAGGTTGTATTTTTGGTCAAAAGGCATTTTAGCTCTTAGCCTCTGGAGATTTGCAATTTTCACACTCTTCAGATGTGCATGGCATAAAGAAAAGGGAACTTTTCACACACTGGGTGTGGTGCTATATCCAGTATTCCAAGAATCAGTTGTATGGCAGCCATGTTTGGTTTGAAACACCGTCATTGCTCATTTGCTGAAAAGACTAAAATGACAAGTATAACTTCACAGAAAAATAACCTTCTTGCTTACAATCAGTGCTGGACAGTAGTTCAATAAAGATGTATATTGCAATAGAAAATGTTTCAGTAACAGTGTTAAGTCTTTTTAAATATGACTGTACATATTATATAATTAATGTACAACTAATTATATTATGACTAGGCAAAATACATATTTATTAATTCAAGGTATCTAATAAATTACTGACTACCTGAAACATACATGATAGATCAGATATGAACAATTAAAGTATGACTGGTTATAAAGTAAAATTGAGCTATCTCGCTTTTTCTTCCGACTAGTCATAATTTTAATTAAAGATGTCTTAAATGGCATCAGGTTTGTAGGTACAGTAAATATTGGTGTTTTTGACCATTTTTCTGACATTTTTATTATATTGTATCAACTGATATTAGGAGTTATATTTTCCTAAATATGTTTATTATCTTTGATTGTAAGACTTTTAGACTAAAAGATAAATGATTTATAAAACAACTCTCCTCCCTTCCTCTAGGCTTTGCTTTGGGCAAAGCAGCAGACAGAACGACAGCTTTGAGAAAGGTAAAAACACAAACCACAGGTTCTTTTTTCTCACCATGTTTAAAACAGAAGATTTATTTTATGAATTTTAATAGAGCAAAGTGAACTGCAACATGGCTTTCATGTAAATGTTTTAATTTAACTAGACTGCAACTCACCAAACTTGTATTACATTAATAAAAGTCCAACTCTTAAATGCATTTCTCATGTATCTGCAGGCCAAGAACCGAGCCATCCACTATTTGTACCACATAAAACTTTACAACAACCACACAGGTAAGTTTCTTTATTATCTTTTTATTTCTTATTGTCTGTTTTGTAAACATGTTCTGAGGAATAAGATATGCTGTATTTTTCGGACTATAAGCCGCACCCCCCACCACCCATCAGTAAAAACAAAAACAAAACAGTACACCCAAAATTGTGGTCAAAAAAAGTGAATTCAATATCACATTTATTTTTAAGAAAAAGGTTGGCAAGTTCACCGGTACAAAATAATAATAATCATAATAATAATAATAATAATAATAATAATAATAATAATAGTAATAATGATGATGATGATGATGATGATGATAATAATAATAATAAACTCTCGGGAAAAAAAAGGCGAGAGGTCTGGAATTAAAACATAAAAAGCAAACCTTTGGAAATTACCGGTAAAGTTCGGAGGAATACGGTTCATTTAACTGACCTTATTTTGGTAGTTTTCTTTAACCGTTTCTGATCCAACAAAACATCTCATTCATCTTCCTCCGGCGCACTGAAACCATCGAAATCCTCCTCGTCAGTGTCGGAGTTAAACAAGCTGCGTCACACAGCGGTACATGTTCAGTTTCTGTGTCGCTGTCCTCCCGGGCTGGCTCTGAAGCTGTGGTGCCCGCTTCATGTAGCAGTCTAGCCTTTCGGAACCCATTGGTGATGGTGGACTCGTTCACTCTGCTCCACGCTGTTAGAATCCACTGGCAGACATCAGGAAATGTCGCTGTTCGCATTCGGCCAGTTTTTGTGAATGATTTATCCCTGTCAGTCAGCTGCTGGGAAAGCCCTCCCGCTCCAGCATACGTCACTGCATGGAATTCCTTCCCCGGGGAGTGCAATGCCGAAAAAAAATGTCAGCAGCTCTTCACTCGACGTTTATCCACAAACTGGTCCTGGATTAAGCTCCAAAGTTTTTATCAGTCAGATTCCACCRTGAAAAATGTCTGTTTTATCCCCTTTTATGAGTCTTTGGCCATTGACTATCTTTAAATCGCTGCTTCCTGGTCAACAGTCGGCTCTGGAAGGATCGCTTTTTTTTTCTTTTTTTGAAGCGAGTGGTTGAAGCAAATGGAGCATAAGAGCCCCCTGGTGGCTGAAGAAAAAATCCATGTATAAGCCCCACTGGACTATAAGCTGCATGGTTCAAAGTTCAGGAAAAATGTCGCGGCTTACAGTCCGAAAAATACGGTAGAACATGATGGAGTAGTGGTTAGAGCTGTTGCCTCACAGCTAGAAGTTTTCAGGTTCACCGCTCTTTTGCAACCCTGAAAGGGAAAAAAAATGAGGGATGGATGAACTAAACTTTTTCCTTTCAACATCAGAGACATGTGGTCCAGCTCTGTGTATGATGCTATGAGACGTCTGGTTAACTCCTCCCGTGCTGGGATGCTCACTCTGACTATGTTTCCAACTTTCTACTGCTCTTTTATTCGCTCCCCTTGTATCACCTGCTCATGTTCACACAGCTGACATATTTTAAAAAATGGCTTTGTGAGAAAACGAATAAGAGTCAAAATTTGCTGCTTTTACTTTCATATTGTCAAGCTCCATTTTGCTTCCTGTGCCTCTGCTGGCGAGCAACTTCAGGAAGATTAATATGCGTGAGTCATCAGCCTCCGCCGCGCCCACCGGAGGAGAAAGTTAGTTTCCTGATTTGGCCTAAAACCAGATGAGAAGTGTGTGTGTGTGTGTGTGTGTGTGTGTGTGTGTGTGTGTGTGTGTGTGTGTGTGTGTG